TTGTTTCAACTGACCCCAGGTCTTGATATGCTTCGGAACAGGGGAAACCATATTCGGGTTGTTAGCAAGGATCGCCGGAGGGAACTGGATGCGATCCATCTCCTTGACCTGATCAGGCGTCATCTCTATGCTCCCACTCTGCTGCCGCAGAAGTTGAAGCTTGTACAAGTCGTGCTGCCTCTGTTGCTGTTGCCGTTGCTGAGCCGACATCTGCTGTCCCGCGAGCATCTGATTGGGCATTTGTGCACCGTTCATTCCGGCGAGTTGCTGTTGCAGTCCGAGAGATGCTCGCATGTTCTGATTATTACCCATCTGATTGTTCACCATCTGCTGGTTCTGACCGGCTTGCGACAAATTCTGCTGCATGGGCAACTGTTGCTGGCCAGCATTTGCTCTTGCGAGAGCTTGGTTGTTTGCGAGAGCACGACGCTGCTGATTTAAAAGAAAAGCATTAAGGTGTTCAGGAGTCATTTGAGCCAGCTGTTCGTGTGCCGCGGGTGGTAGACCAGGAGGAATCTGGGGTCGACCTTGCATTCCGGGCTGTCCAGCAAGACCCTGCACGCCATTGGGCTGTTGTCCCATCCCGGGAGGCCGCGACGGCGGCCGGACTTGAGCAGGCACCTGCCCTGGGGACATCTGCCCAGGCGGCATGGGACGGTTCAACATCGGCATAGCGGGACTTTGAGATAGTTGTTGCTGCATCTGTGGATTAGCCTGGCCTGCTTGCGATATCGCCATTTGCGCTTTCTGGGCTGCTTGAGCTCGTGCTTGCGCTTGGGACTGCGCTTGGGGCTGAGGCTGGAACTGTGCTGCCTGCTGATTTCGATCCTGCTGAACGGTCTGAGGATTCTGCAGATGCTGTGCCGCGAGAAATTGAGGGCTGATAGAGGCGCCATTGAGGTTGGCCTGACCTCCTTGACCCATCTGCTGGCCCACTTGGAACATGTTCTGAGGAGCAGTGTATGGCTGTTGATTCATTTGGGAAGAACTGGCAGGCACCACGAGTTGGCCTGCTTCTTGGGAACGCAATCCATCCGCTTGCTGGCCCTGGATGTTTTCGACGTTGCCGATGAAGGACGACGGATCAAGGGTTTGTTGGTTGCCCATGGGAAATCCCGAATTGCGCTGAAAGGTCATCATATTCTGAAAGATTTGTCGCTGCTGAGGATTCATCATGGGATCTGTCATCATAGCCCCGTTAGGGTCGACACCTGCGCTCTGCGCTCGTGCCATTTCCATGCGGTTTCGTTTATGTCTTCTGAGTTGATTCAAAGCCTGGCAACGGAAGAAGTACGTGATTGGATCCATGTTCTTTCTGGTAAGGTATTGTCTTTGTTCCGGTGTCATATTCTGTAGGTTCATACGAATCTTCTCCATATCTTCCTGGGGAGTTTTGGCAAGGATCTGATTGGCTATCCGACAGACATGTTCGTATTCTTGAGCTGAGAGAGTATTGAGATCGTCAGGCAGGGAAGCATTGCCGCCTGGTCGTTGTTGCGCACGCTGCTGCTGGAGCATAGCCTGATTCTGCTGCGACTGTTGCTGCTGTTGCTGTTGTTGTGACTGCTGCTGCTGCTGCTGCTGCTGCTGCTGCTGTTGGCGCTGTTGAATTGCAGCTTGTTGAGTGGGATCGTTGATGCCGATCGCCATCTGCTGTTGGCCTGGCATTGGAGATGCCTGCACAGGTCGGTTCAATTGCTGAGGAAATCCATTCTGCCCTACCCCAGGCATACCCGCTGCGGGGCCTTGGGGCATCATCCCATTCTGCATAACTGCGGCTTGTCTTGCTCTAGTGTCTCGTATGTGGATTAACTTCTCGTTGCATTCCTTGTCGTAGTCGACCTGTGAATAGATTCGAGATTAGACTATCTGTGAGAATGGGCGGGAAGGAAAACTGACTTTTTCCCTGGCGTCTTTGAATGCTTTTTGCTCAAAGCTCATTGCAGCTTGGGCCGCGCTCTGAAAATCAATTCGAGGCTGAATCAACCGAAGGGATGTAATCCTTGTTGAACAGAAGAGTTAGCCCAATAAGACGCCAAGAGAGACAAATAAAACAGTAGAATTGTAGGACATGAATTACATATGGCCCTTAAGCAGTAAGTGAGGGGAATACCAGAGGCTTAGCACTCACATCTGATAGACCTTGACAGCTCGGTCTTTAATCGGAACTTCCGCTCTCCAACCGCTAAAGGGACCCTGGGCTTGGAGCGCCTGAGCCACCTGGTTCATTATAACCGATGCATTTTCATTTCTCTGCGGCATCTGCGTCTGGCCATGCGGATTGGCTCCGCCAGGCATGCCCCCGCCAACATTGGGGAAGTTTGCGGGATTCATGACTGCAGCCCCGTCAGAGGGGATCAGCGAGCAATCCGCGAAAGCTTTCCTGTCTCGCCAGCATTCGCTGGTAAATCCCAAATAATCCTCACACAATGCAATGTCTTATTTTGTCGAATCGTGACGGAGAGCTTCTTCGGTGAGATTGAGTAGTTGACAGAGCTTCCAAGGTGTGAATGGAGAAAATGATAAGAATACAGAAGGGTTTATGATGTATGACCGCTGAGAGGTAGACTGGACGCAGGCTCGAAGGCAAAGAGATAGCGTAAGATCTGCGGGTTCGAGAATCGTTGCAAGTGAAAATAAGGTATGTAGGTTTGAGGAAAATTGAGAGAGCGTATTTCCCAGGACCAACGTAGCGGAGAAATCGAGGCGTTTGGGCACCAGGTTATCAGTCGAGGGGATTCGCTGGCAGCAGTCGGAAAAAGTGGCTTGGGGAGAGGAATGACACGCGCCGGTAAAGGATGGGCCAGTGACAGGGATGTTGCGACAACGTCGCTTGCAGAATATCGTCTGAATAGAAAGGTAGAGGTCCCTGGCCGACAACAAGGGGGTCAGAGGAGTCGAATGAGGATGATAATAATAATGAAAATAATGATAATAGTAATAATTGAAGAAAAAAGAGAGAAAGAGGGTCTCCTAGAAGTGAGTAACCATGAAAATTAGAATGAATCTCTGCGCAAAAGGATTCAGGTACGAAGTATAAGAGAAAAGAGGGGGTATTTTTCAGAAAGAGGATGCGAAAAAAAAGAAAAAGAAAAGAAACGATAAGTGAAGAAGAAGAAGAGGAAGAGGAAGAATGTAAGAGCAAGCGAACAATGCGTGTTCAGTGGTGTGGAATAATAATTCCAACAGTCAATTGAAATGAAATGATGGACGGTCGGGGATTGAAGATCTGGAGGAGGAGGAGGGTGGTTGTTTGGTGGTGGTGGGCTTACCGTAGCTGTCTGGTGGCGTGGATGATATGATGGGTCGTCAGCTGGAGGGAAAATGATGGGAGGAAATATTACCCAGATAGAGGTAAGAAGTTCGGAGAATCGACTTCTTCCTCTTTTCCTTCTTATTCCTCGACAAAGAATGTATTAAGAAGAGAAGTCGAAAGGAAGAAGAAACAGTCGAAGAAGGAAAAGACAAGAGAAGAGGGCTGTGAGAAGGGAGCCTTCGATTGGACCAGCGAATATGAAGCTCATAAAATGAAGAACAGTTTAGAAAAGAAAACGATGGTGGAGCAGCCTAACAAGGGAGGAAACAGTCCAGAAACTGAAGCTGATGATCCCCGTAGTGGTACTGATTAAGTGATTATTACTGACAGACTTTGGAGGCTCACTAGCTGAATAGTCCATAGTATTTAGTCTACTGAAGAATATCATCCTAGACAATCCTTCATCCTGCGGCTACGAAATAATAGATTAGAAGTCACCCAAGTCCTATCTAATAGGTTTTGGCGGTATTACGAGAGGACTAAGTGGCTACTAACAAGGTACTAGACCGATTTGACCCAAAAGACCCAGAAAGCTTTAGTTGACGGGAGCGGATGATGGACCCAGCACTACCTTACTACTACTACCTTAGTTAGTCGGCTAGTCAGTTACAGTACTCCGTACTACAAGTCTATACCAGTACTAGTTAGGTACCTGGTGCCTTCGAAATTGGAATTCTACAAAGAAAATGAGTAGCATCTCGATGACAATAAATAATCATGGACTGTCATTATATGACTATGGAGTAAGGCCCTAAGGTAACTCTTGCATTCTGTCAAAGGATTAATTCTAACAATAGGTGCTCTTGACTGGCTAAAATATGACGCAAGGTCCTGAGACTAGACTCGACAGATATACTCCGTACCCACCACCAGGGGAATTGGTACCTAGGTATTATTTACTATGTGTTGCGGAAAACGCTCATTGTTATTACTAGTAGTATATTATTTATCTTACTATTATGAGGGAGCTCCCATTGGTTTGAGAGGAACCCAGGCTAGATCAGTTCATCGACTGGTACCTCATTAAGTATGTTCCTTGCCTTATCATAAACCCCACCAACGCCTTTAGACCAGCTAGTATCTAGCACAGGAGTACCAGATAGAGACAATAGCAATAACTAAGGTCTGGTGAATAGACACATAATGAAGGATCACTTAGATTTCTTCATGAAAATATACAGCAGAATCACTGCAGACTCCAGAGTGCAGGATGAGCATGCTGGTGTGCTTAGACCCACTCTCTCTGCTCTGTAGCGCCCCTTGTCAGACCATATCACGTGATTGCTGTCGTCACCGCCCGTCTTAGACTCTTAGCAGCAACGACAGTCCCTTTTCTGTTGGGGCCTGTATACGTACTTGATGATGATGATCAGGGAGATCCACTAGATAGTCTGGATCACTGGATCACTGGATCACTGGACATCTAAATTTCGACGTATTTGGGTCGCTCAACTCATCCATCTGGTTTCCTTCCTCATTTTGTGTTTCTACCACTTATAGTCCGGGCTCTCTCTTCTATTCACCTTTTCGGCCTTTCCCAGCCAGTCCTACAGGCTTTCCGCTCGATAGTCTCTCCTTTACTGTCACGTTCCTTGCATTTCCTCCCATCATGGTCATCTAATTTGGGACACCTAAAAGCCATACTATTTGTCTCGTCTGTTTTCCCGGTGGCCCCCTAAGCGCCATGTTCATATTCTCCGCAGCTCCAGTCCCGGTCGGGTCCAGTATCTTCTTTGCACTGGCCCTGCTCACCATCTCCGTTTCAGTGTTATTACTGCTCCGACGTTTCCTTACCCTGCGAGCCACTCCGGCATACCTCTCGGTCCCCGTCTTCCTAGCTCTTGCGCTCCCCGCCAGCGTAGTACTTCTAGTCCCAATCGACCTTGCATCCAGTTCTCGTGACGGAGGCGGCCCCAAGGCGATATGGCTTCCGGATCGTTTAATCCTGGTAGCATGGCGGATCGCCTACTGGCTAATTTTCGTTCTGACCTGGTTTGTACCACATGTGGTCCTGCTGACCCTCTCGTTGCAGAAGTGCTGATCATAGGTAATTGGTTTCCTGCAGGGCTATCCTCCCGTTGCTAGGAGAATATATCGATTCGGGTTATCGTGATACCAAAAGTCGCATTCTGTATTCGCTGCGCTCGAACGCTCGCTACCAGCTGATCGTTCTATGCTGTGCGTTTGTCGGTCTGGTCTACATCTCCATTCAGAATGGCTTTCGCTTCGCCTCGATCAAGGCGCTCGCCATGGCCTTGGCCTATGTATGGGGTCTTGTACTTGCAATTTATTCAATGGGCCATGGCCTGGTTTCGATACCTCGTACTCTATTCCGCAACGCCAACGTCAGTGGCAGGCTACGTAGGGTCCAGGCCCATGCACCTCGACTGCACGACCGACTTATGGATGCCATCAATGATCTCGAGAGCCTCGAGTCGCAAGTGACTCAATTGCAGCAGCGGAAAACTGGAACCGCTCGAGATTTTCAGGATTGGATTGAAGAATTGGCAGAGACATCCAGCCCCGTCGAGTCGCGAGCCGCTATTCTGGAACCCTCCAGTGTGCAAGGCACCGTTCCTCCGGTCATCACAGAACGCTACATGGCGGATCTGACCCGACGCCTACAGCGCGCTCGGCACCAGAAGGCACGCTTTGTCGATGAATGGGATCGTCTGGTTTTGCTCGCGGCCGACTTGCAAGCAATTATCGACTCTTCCGCATCTCGAAAGCTGGACTTTGGCCAATCGCCCCGGCGTTCGACTTCTCTGCCACGCATCAAGGTTTTGACCCCCTACATGCGGTACCACCTGTATATCAACGTCATTCCCAGTCTGCGGCTCGTCGTGGGCGCGCTTTTTGCGATTGCGTCCATCTGTGTCATCTGGTCAGAATTGATCAAATCCTTGGCTCCTCGCTTGTCTGTCGTGACACTGTCCATCATCTCGTATCATGAAGATCCAAAACCGGTGGATTTTGGAAGACAGCTGGCCACTTCCGCGTGGCTGCTGTACATGTGCGCTGCCGCTCTGGCGGGTGTCAATGATGCCAAGGTCTGGGGCAATCGTGCTCTGGTTCGCCGAAACACTTATGGAGAGAGCGCGTGTTGGTACGCTAGCCTAGTCGCCAGGCTTACCGTTCCAATTGCTTACAACTTCCTGACGTTCTTGCCGCTGAGTGTACGACAAAACACTATCTTCTATCATTTCCTCGGTCGGCTCATTGATCTCACGCCTCTAGGAAAGGGATTTGATTATTTCTTTCCGGTCTTCATTCTACTGCCCGTCTTTGCAACTCTCTTCAACCTCTACGGGAGAATCAAGAATGTATGCGGCTTGGGTCTGATTGAGGAGGATGACAATGAGTTGGAGAATAACCCTGGCGGCTATGGGCTAGGCGGCTGGAGAGAAGGCCGCGAACTCATTGATCGAGAACTGAATGGCCTTGGATCTTTAGCGCCATCCTCCCGTATTGGGCAATCGACCTGGCAGTCGAGCCGTAACACCGATACTCCAGGATTAATATCCTCCAGAACACCTCGGGCCGATAGTGCTCGACCAACCCGGCCTCTCAGAAGTCCTCCTGCATCCTCTGTTGTTCTAGAAGACGAGACAGATGAAGAGAATTTCTTCCAGTCTTTTGCGCATCGGGTCAGAAATACCTTTGAGACTGCAAGCAAACCTCAATGGCTTCAGGGCGAACCCTTCCGGCTTCCAAGATGGATGAGCAATGATAGAGCCCAAGGAAGTAATGGTCTCACAAGGTTGTTTGGTGGTCGACCGGCTGATGGTGGGGTGAGACTTTAGTAGCCGCGTATGCTACTCTATGTATTTTTTGTACAGTATCCTGCATGGCGAGGGCGTCTGGCCGGTCATATATTTCCCTTGATATATAATATGTATATTTCATTTTAGCCATCAATAGATCATGGGGTTGAAGACTCGAGTGTGTTGCGTTTGTCCCTTAATCTGAATAAATCGTGTGAAAATATTTCCTCGCGTGGTGCCTGTGCGAGGACTTGACAAACAAACCCAATACACAGCATTAACTAACTCAACTTCCGAAGCTCTTCTGTTCTTTCTGACTCCAATATCTCTGAAAGTCACAAGGAATTGGCATGTTCTCTTTGAAGGTCGGCAAGGCCAGTTCTCGTAACTGCGGCAGCTATACGACCTCCACCATCTGGCAATGTTCCTTGAGTGATAACTGAGCGAAGTAGTGGCCCTCTCAGTCGCAATTCGTTGCAGGAAACAGCAAATAAATAAAAATATGCATATGATGTGACAGCTGGATGATCCGCGTCGAGTAGGTCGGCAAAAGCAGACTGCAACCAGATAGTCCTCTGCTGAAGAGGGCCATTGACCGTATCGTAAATCAAAGGGAACGACCAGCCGACGTAATCTTGTTGGATCCCCAGATCTCCCTCTCGCGCTTGCGACCCTTGGGCATCATTCGCGCTTTCATTCGATCGATGTCCCGCTGGGGCAGGCCGAGGTCGTCCAGAGCCTGCACCCCTAGCCGACTCGATGACTGTCCGAGCATGCGCCGCAGACACTCTTCGGCATGCGTCTGGATTAGGTCGGCCTGCGCATCTCCATCAACTGACTCCGCTGTGTCTCCCGTCGTGGCTGCCATCACAAGTGGCTTCAGAAGGTCGTGCAGTGATGCTGCAAGCTGAGGGAGTGCTTTGATGACATTATTACACTCTAGCCACCTCGATATGCTGTGCTCCTGAAAGAGAATCCACGCCGCAGTGCACCGCCTGGGACAGGGTGTTGAGGTTTAGTGTTAGAACGACATAAGTTCAGTCAGAGAAACGGAATAAGAAGAACGGAGATTCTTTCAGCGGAATTTTTTGAATTGGCTAAGCCATTCATAAAAGATGAGCCCACCAAAGCTGATGCTGATCAATATGAAGAAGACGAAAGTGTCGCTGATGATAGCAAGAGGAAGACCCTAAGGGTGGCTCTAATAACAAGGATTATTAGGGATTGTTATGGTGGTTAGATCTAACCCAGATAAGACAGATGAGTAAGAATCACTACTCCGCCCGTATGGTTTTTGTCCATGACCTCAACATCCGTTAATCAACTTTTTTCTTCGCTTCTAGCTGGACTCTCGATCCATGAACCTTCACCCATCACACATTGCTCAGTCCTCCGTGGGCGAGAGGTGTGCTTCATATATTACAGCGATCAGTGACACTCTCACCCAGCGAGTCGTTTCGCCTCTCCTGTCAGCCAAAGCGTCATCTTCCCTGCGCACTCTGACCCTCCCACCCGATTGGGTCCTCGATCCTGCAGATCCTCCCACTGCCGCTCTCACCGTCATCGCCTGCGCCATCGCACTCGTCGTCATGAGCTGGCGATTCAGCGATCTTTGGCGCCGCTCCCCCTATCCGGCTGCCAAGACCACGCCCCCGCATATCAGCGACAGCGACTACACCTACCTCACACCGGAGGATATCGCAGACCGCCCGTCGGGCTACACGGGTGCGGAGGAAGACGAGCCAGATACCCTTCTTCTCAAGCACCGCAAGAATACCTACGCCTTGCATTTCCCTGCGTACGCTATCAATGACGGGGCGCTCAGCGTGGGCGAGCTGAGGCGCCGGGCGGCGGAGGTCACGCGCACACCTAACCCGGCACGGATCAAGTTACTCTACAAGGGGAAATTGTTGGATGATGACTCGGTGCCGTGCCGGGCTGAGGGCCTCAAGCAGCAGTCGGAGGTACTGTGTGTTGTTTCGGAGGTGCAGCCTGGTGAGAGCACGCCCAGTGAAGGCTCGGAGGCGGAGGCGGAGAAAGCCGACGAGGCTCCCCGTCCAGACGAGGTGCAGAGCGGCGGGGAAAGAAGAAAGAGAAATCGGAACAGAAACAAGAAGAAGAAGGGCAAGGGCCGGAACAAGACAGCGGATGCGGCTGCTGGCGATGCGGACGAACTCGCCCCGCCGGCGAAACCTTCGCGACCGTCCTCTGCTGGGGGCCCGTCATCGTTACCGGCGCCGTCTCCTAACCTGAAAGCCTTACGCACACCGCTCGAGCAAGCCAATGCGTTGATCACATACCTGCGGACTGAGCTACTTCCCCTCTGCGAGGCGTATCTCGCTCATCCGCCTACTGATGCCAAGGCACGCGATTTCGAGCACAAGAAGCTGAGCGAGACGATCCTGGCACAGGTCATTCTCAAAGCGGACGGGATCGAACCGGACGGCGATGAAGCTGCTCGGAATGCGCGTAAAGCTCTGGTCAAGGAGGCGCAGGCGGCTCTCACCAGTCTAGACCAAGCTGCAAGGGAGTGAGTGAGTTGCGCCTGGAGAAGTTGATTGATTTTGCTTTGAACACTGTATATTTGGGACATGCGTTTCTTGAAGCTATGTATTTGGCACATGCTTTTCCGGTCTGGCTATCGACAGAAGAGGGAATAGAATTGCTATCAAGACAAGATACAGAGGGATCGGGTATCTCTGGATCTTTCATCGCTTTATGTTTATGCTTTATGGACATCAGGTCATGTCCAATGCACATACATGTACTTGGAAATTTGCATTGAGATGGCGTCTGGGATTGTTTCTAGGGACCGATGAGATGGCTCTTGACATGAAGATGAAGGCGATTTGCTGAAGAGACAAAAGAACCGAGAAGCTCGATTAGTCTAGCCATGGAATATCTACATGCTTCAAGTAAGAACTCTCGAATAGAACCTAATTGGACACACTAATCTAAACCGGTTTAAGGCCCCCAGATCTGGGCTCTAGATAATGCTACCTATCAACTGTCTATCCAAGCAACAGTTGAGCTAGTTGCAAGATTGGCTGGGCTGTTAAGGCTTCGAGCTAAACCTTCATCAGCCCCCGTGCCGTCTCTTTCTTTCTCCAATCTCTCTCTCTCTTTCTCTCTCTCCTCTCTCATTATTCTCGTGCTTTTCCTCTTTCTCTCTCTCTACTCCTGTACTCCGTACTCTTGTGATCTCTCTTCTCCTTTCTCCTTGGCTCCGGTGCTGTCGATCCCACCCCTCGCCCTGATTTTCTGGAGTTCCCTCTTCTTTTCTACACTTCAATTCACTTCACTTTTAATAATGCTTTTTGCTGCTTGTCTCTAAATTTCACTACTAATCTTGCAACAACGTGGAGCTCTCCTACGTCGGCGCCACAGTCTAGCCACATCCTGTGCATCCACTCCTTTTCATCCTTTTTCCTTCTTCCCCTCTTCCACCTTCCCATCTCGTCCTCGCCCTTCGACGGGTCTCGTCTCCTCATACCGTCGTCGCTAGTTTAATTTTCGTTTCTCTCTTTCTATACTTGCCTTATATCCCCTTCTCGCTCGATATCTTTGACTGTTCATACCGAAACCGCCTAGACTTTCTTAACGGGAAGACGCATCGCCTATCCACGGTACCGAGTCCGCCGGTTCCCTTTACTACCAACACCAGCTGCGGAACAAGGGTCGAAATCCCCGGCTCCAGCGGAGGAATTGAACCAAAGAAAATATCCTACTGCTGTTTTTTTTTTGGCCTATTTACGTTTTACTCTTTTCGGGCGGCCTTCCCTCTTACCCGGCCTTCTCCCTAGCTTCCACCCCCTGACACCGGATCAATCCATTTTGCGAACGACCACGAACGCTGTGCACCTCGTCTCATAAAGTCTCGTCGACTGAAACAATATATTTTGTCGATTGACCGCGACCGGTCGGCGCCCGTGTCGTTCCCCTGGGATGGCCTGATTGAGGGGGATATTGCTGGAATTCGGTCTGCGTTTGACAAGACCCCGCCATATCTGCACCCCTCACAATTATTCACTGGGTTCCAGCTGGTCTGACCTATTCCTGACGCCTACTTATTTATTTCGTTAATTTTTGATCGCTGCTGGAATGGCGGGGGCAGCCACCGCAACGTACTCTGCAGATGTCTGGACCTCGCCCGGTAGCGTAGACACCAGTCAGCAACAATGGGACTTTGCTGTTCCCGCGAGGCAGAATGTAAGTGTTTGCATCTGTTTGTCAAGTACCGTATCTCTTTTTTGGGCTTGATGGTGTTGGCTGCGGCATCGCATGTGACATGCCGTCATCTGCAAGAGCAATGGCTGATTATTTTTCTGATAGAGTAACGCTCGTCCCAAGTCGCGGTCTCGCGACTCTGCCCACAGAAGATCCCGAGACAAGGGCTCCAGAAGCTCGTCCCTATCCAGACATGCCTACGCACAAGAGGCAAACCTCCTAGCATCTCGGGGAAGACGCGAACATAGCCCAAAGCGGCACGAAAGTGAGCCTGGATTCCCGCGGGATCTGCACGGATATGAAGCGGCGAACCGGAGCGGGAGCAAAGCGAGAGATTCTGAACACAATGGACCTCACAAGGGTAGCGACAAGAAAGACGGGATGGGTCCGCATCCGAATAAACTAGACAGTGCGCATTGGATCCATCGCGATAAGCTGGCTCGTATTGAAAGCGAGGAGCTGCAACAGGCGGCCTATCTGTTTCAACGTCGGGCTGGTCTGGAGAATGGCAGGCCAAGCCGGGCGAGGAACCACGACTCCAACAACAGCGGGTTCAGCGGGTTCAGTGGGTCGGTAGGCGCACCGACGGCATCAGAGTCCATGGAGCCGTGGCCGAACCTCCGCGACGAGCAGCGCAACCACGCCAGCTCTCCGACGCCCTTTGACGGTGACGGCACTGGGGACGTGACGGAAGAGGAGCGCAGAGCTTGGGATCTTCGTAGACCAGAAGAAATTGCTGCCGACGAGGTGACAGATAGCGCATCAAGTATGTATCGTAACCCGGGACTTCGAAAGAGCTCGTCTCGGATACCCATATCCACTGCCAGTCCGGCACCTATTTCTCCTGAGCATCTGGGACGGGAGTTTCCCATGCAGCGTGCGCGGACGCTCACGAATGGCGAGGATGAAATCTTGTCGTTTGGAAAGCCACGCAGAGCCAGCGAGCCAATCGCGGTGGAAGCTTCCGACTCCTCTGCCACTCCATCTGCAGGCAGCCGACCAAACAGTCGCGGCATTCAGCCCAACCAAAATTCTCCGGCCAAAAGGGGAGCAACGACCAAAGGTTCTGCAACCCGAAAAACTTCTGCTCCTCCCAGCAATACCCGCAAATCGTCAAGGAACCGGACCGTTTCAGCCAATTCCCAGCGCCCTTCCACCCGATCAGGCGAACCCCGGCCACCCCAGACGATCAATCGACCCGAGGGGGATCCTCCATGGTTGGCGACCATGTATAAACCCGACCCTCGACTCCCTCCCGACCAGCAGATCCTCCCTACGCATGCACGAAGAATGCTGCAGGAACAATGGGAGAAGGAGGGCCGGACACCTACAACGTACGATCGGGAATTTGCTCCATTGGCTATTGGGCCTGAAGATCGACCTCAGCTGCCCAACAAGGAGGAAGACACAGAGAAAGTGGAGAATACGCCAGCGAAGGCTGAAGACCAGTCACTCTCACCGGTACAAGCAGAAAAGACCGACCATCTCCTCGCCTCGCCAAAGAGTCCCGCATCAAGGCCGAGTTCCAGTACGGGATACAGCCCCATGCCTAAGCTACAGGAGCTGCCGGCCGCTGCGCAGGTGGGATTGACGCCAAAATGGAACCCTCCCGTGGTGACTGCGCAAGCTCCGCCCCCGAAGGAGAAGGGATGCGGATGTTGCATCGTTATGTGATTCGAACAATACGGTCATTCTCGGAACAGTTTAGTTGGAAGATACCTCAGTCTGACCTCTTTTGCATTTTGTCTACTGTTTCTCTCGCTAGTTCATTCAGCGTCAGGTTGGCCGACGGTGTTGTGTATGCTCATACTCGACGTTTCTGTTTCTTTTCAACCCCCTTCGTCTTTCCAATTCGCAGGTGAGCGACGACAAAAATTCTGTACGCATACCTGCTACTTCTAGGCGAGAGCCCCATCACTTGATGACTTTGATATGCATACCTTCCTTCAGTTTTCCTTGTTCAAAACTTGATCTGAACAGATCACCTGCATACCCCGCTGCTTTTTTGTTGTTTCGTTTTCGCCGTTTCATACTTCAGCGACAGCATTTCATTTCTTATCTGATCTATATCCAAGTTAGTCATGCTGACATCGACTATTCCCGTCGAACGTGGTCATAGCTAAATTCACAAATCATACAAAGCACTCAAGTTCTACCTCTGATAGGCATTGGTAATCAAATCGTCAAATGTAGACGGACGATGATCTCATTTCCATGCCAAGCACGTCCCAACTCCTGTAAACTCTAAAAGAAGGAGAGAGCCAGGTGCAGAGCCACGTACACGGAACGATTAATAAGCATTCGCCATCCGATAACATCATTGGGATCGGAAATCGCACCCACCTGCGCCAGCACCAAACGTCAGCCAAATATAATCCCACGCGCCTCCCACCACCACCACCACTGCTACCACCTTTCTTTCGTCTTCGTTCCTCTACAACCAATTGCCCACCATAGCTTCCATATTCACCCGTCTGTTCGGCTCCTTCGCCGGCCCCTCCCCAGCAGCCATGTCAGCCGCAAAGACCAAAGCCCAGAACCTGATTAACGAGAATGCCGTTGGTGCGTCCCTCCCCTATCAACCGAAATCAACCGGAGGTGAACATAAAGCTGAATTCCTACTGACGAATGGCAGTGGTCTTCTCGAAATCCTACTGCCCCTACTGCAACGCCAGCAAGAAGACGCTCAAGGACCTAGGCGCCAACTTTTATGCGCTGGAGTTGGATGAGATTGGTAAGGCCTCGAAACCTCTTATTTTCTGAATGGACGGTTGCTGATACCTGTGATGGTGTAGATGATGGAACCGAGATCCAGAATGCGCTGTATGAGATCACGCAGCAGCGGACTGTGCCGAATATCTTCATCGGGAAGAAGCATATCGGTGGCAACTCGGAGTTGCAGGCCAAGTCTGCGCAGTTGCCGGCTTTGTTGAAGGAGGCGGGTGCTTTGTAGACTATGGCTATAGATAGATACGCTTAGAATCTGAAATGCCAGTTAAATGATGGCGTTTTAAGTTTACTGTACTGTTTACTGTGTGCTCCGTAACGCTGGGTTGGATCCGGATTGAGATTCACATTAGTATACAGGAAGAAGAATAGAGATTAAACGACCTTCAGGACTACAGTTCCAACCGGTCTTTCCACAATCCCCATGACCCCATCCACGACACTCTGGCGCGCTCCCTCGCTAGAGACCGTCTTCCCGGCCAGATAATTCAACCACACCAGACGACTGATGCGCTCGTCGGCCACCCGGCCAAGGAAGCGCATCGGCTTCGCGGGATCAGGATGGAACAGCGCATTCAGCTCCCCGCGGGCATTCCGCACCAAAAGCAGAGTCTGCCCCTTCGGGACATTCTTCCGCTGCCCACCCCCAAACAGACTCTTGAATTCATTCATCGCAGCGCCAAACGACTCATCCTCGAACTCGCTGGGAGTGCCGGCTCCGCCATCCTTAGCCTTTGCGTTCGCCTTTTGCGCCCGCGCCGTGATGCCCCGCACCCAGCCATCCCGCAGATGCAAGAAGTCCGTGTTGCGCGTTGGCACAATCCGGAACGCCGTGCGCAGCCCGTCCTGCTTGAGGATCTGGGTCCACGCGGCCTCGCCCATCTCCGGATCCAGGAGCAGCTGCTTCAGACCCTGCCGCTCGGTCGAGACCAGCGACGTCGCCGATGTCGCGCCAGGAGTATCGCTTATCACGCTGTCTCGGCCAGGCGGGTTCACCGCCGTGCGGACCAGCCTCTGCTGCAGTTCCGTGATGTCCGCCTTGGCCACGTACAGGCCGACAACGTACACCTGGATCTGGAGGAAGGAGACGGTGCGGATCCCCAGGCCCAGGAGCTGGTATTCGTCCTCCTCCACACCGGGGCCCGCGGGGAGGTCTTCTCCGGACTTGAGCGAGGGGTCGTCGAGGGATCTGGGGAGTCGGATGGTGCTTGGGAAGTGAGGGACGGTGCTCGTGCCTGTGGCGACCTGCTCAACACCGTCTTGTCCTTGGATGCGGATCACCGATGGGCTACTCGGGAAGCCGTCTGGGCCGTCCAGCTTTAGCGCTCCGTTGTTTGCATTGTTGTGGCTGTCGTTGTTCGCGGGCTTTGTCTCCTCGAGCTGAGAAAGACCAAACAGGTCCATCTTGATGACTCCGTACATGGCTACGGCACAGGCTGCGATGCCAGCTGCAGACAGAGTCATCGACCGCCGGTATTGTGCGATCTCTGCCTCGCGCGTGCGCACATTTCCTGACGATCGAAGGGGGTTCTTCGCGGCGGTGCGGAGGGGACGAACGGTCGAGAAAAAACGGCCGGGGGAGCGTAGATGATTCGATTGGACATATTGGCGACGGAGACATTGGCCACAAGTACGCCAGGGCAGAGACCCTTGTATCGAAGATGTTGCTGCCATTTTGTTGATATATGAGGTGGACGCCGAGGTATGACGAATGGCGTGGTCGAGACCATGAGGTGACGCCGGAGATCGGTTCCAGGATGCACGTGATCTTCACTGCCCTGAAAGACAGCTCTTCAAGCCTAAGTGCGCAAAGAGACCATACCGGACTATCACTCTTCAATTCCTATCAAAGAAACTACTCATACAAAAGATGGCCCATAAATTCACTTGCAGCCTCTGCAATCAGGTCACACAGCCCATCCAGAAATCCCGGCCGAGTGGATAGTCATTGCGGTCTTGCAGACAGTCGCATATCAAAACTCAAAATTTCCATAACCAGCGCGACATGGGCCACAAAGTCTGAACTTGCAATTCCTGCATAAGTACATCTGTGCGTCCGAGCGCTCGACAACATTCATCGAAGCAATCAGCTGTGCAGTGGGCGAAGTGTCTTCGGATTGAATCTGTTCCCAGAGGGACCCCGGGATCAGGGTTTCTCTGGGAAAGATTCGGCGCCAGCAGTTTTCACATTCGTACTCATACTCCGAGTTCTCGACCTCAGAATTATCAATTATCATGGCAAAATCGTGATTGCAATCAAAAGGATCAAGCCTTGAGCTGTCCGGTTCTGTCCCGAAGAAGTCCGAATTTTCCTCCCAGTCAGACCTAGCGTCAAGATCGACATCGCTACCGGCCTCAGCAGCAAAGTGGTTGTGTTGGACAGCTCTAGCGAGCGACATTTCAGGCTCTTGATCCTCGTCATCATCATCCTCGTACTCTGCCTGGTCGTCTCCCTCATCGTCTGTCTCATCTGGGTCAGATCTCCAGCCACCATAACGATCCCAATAATCCTCATCATCAGAGTCACCCTCAGCGTCCTCGTCTTCCTCTCCATCTTCCTCTTCTCCAGCCTCTCCCTCGTCAACCTGAGTGGCAATCTCCTCAGCGTTGTCATCACGAACATCTATCTCAGCCGCCCGCGCTTTTGCACAAATATTCGCTTTGCAGACCTCGATAGCCCGGCAACAGTACCAGCACCACTGCGCACCGCAACGGCACTGCATGTGACGACAGCCAAACATCCTACGGACTGCAGCACGGCACTTGGGGCATCTTTTGATTCCCAACTTTTCCAAAGCCCGCGCCAATTCAGGGTCGATATCCGACACCTGACACATAGAGCCGTGGTGGTACAGCTTCTTGCATTTCCAACATACCTGAGCGAAGCACTTCGGGCACAGCACGGGGAACGAGATGTACAACGGGCTTACGGGAAGAGATGGTGTAGCCCCACTGGCCGCTAACTGCCTATAAAATCCGCTAGAAGCCACGAGGTTCTTCCATTGTTGTTGTATGTAGCTGGGGGGAATGAAGACGGAGCAGGTGGGAACGGGGCAGTAGCAGCGGTTGACTGTTCTCCACTCCTCGAATTTCAACTTGTACAATGCAATCTCCTCGTCGGAAAGATATCTGCGTGCAACAGCCAGCGGGATGGGCTGGCAGCAGCGCGGCGGCATCTGAGCCTCATCCTTGCACGCCATGAGGAAGATTTGTCGGATACAATCGGTACAGCAATAACAACCGCATCCTTTGCAGGGCCTTAATTGTTCGCCTTCAATATCTTCGCTGCAGTAAGCACAAGGACGGATCTCTGCCGGTACTTCCGCTGGTGCTTCCGTTGGTGCCGCTGGGACGGTCTCGTCTATGGACATCCGATCGAAGTGATAGATGGCTTCCATGGCTGAGATTTACGCGGGAGGAGCAGCGAGAACCCAAGCCGGCGGAGCTACGCGAATCAGCAGACTTGTCAGACATAACACGGATGCGCGTGATGGGCTGGGTATATGGTACCTGACTGATCCTCGAGTCGGGCCGAAATCTCCGGATAAGCAATAAGGAAACGAAGTGGTGAAAGATGGAATAACAAGAGAAGTGAAAATATAAATAAGAAGAGGGAGAAAAAGCCAGTGAAGGACAAACACTCCGCATCACGACGACTAATCGAGGACCCACGAGGGGTTCACGGTTGACTGTGAGATGGCTCCCTTCTGGGTTAAGCCTTCCTATTTCACCAAGGTTAGAGAGTGAGCAGTCACCCATGGCAGCCGGAAACTTCAGGATAGGGGCACACCCTTTGTCTATATGTATCAAAGTATTATTGTATAGTCAGAAAACTTCATTGTTCTGTGTGTCCCCTAGAGAAGTTTACTACATGTCACTATCTAACAACTACAAGGTGTGATCCTCCTCCAGTCACTGTGATGGTTGCAGTTTCATGTTCATATACCAAACCCCTTTTGATGTCATGTCCATCGATCTTAATGGAAGGCTTCTTTGGACTTGTCGCAAATGGCAAGGTGAGGTTTCCCGTTGTCCCGTGAGGAACTGAGAATTGTAGCGTGTATCCCCTTGGATTTCTCTCCCACGACGCCTTGTACTTCCCCAGTAATGTTGTAAATCCAGCCTCGGCAAACTTGAGATCACCAAATTGCGGTGCAATTTTCCAAGTCGTCCCTCCAGGCGATGTAATGGGAAGACCAACGACGTAGTTGGTCAGGGCAGACGTTGGCCCTGCAGACCACCCATGTGCATGCGAGACATAGGAGGCGTCGTATGAGTAACCGCGACTGGACCTGTAGCCAAAGGTGCCGTTGGTGAGGTACCCCTCAATGACAGTGCTCTCCGTGCCATTGGGACTGTTGAGATACCACCCCCAGCTTCGCCGAATGAGCTCGAGCGCTCTGGTGGGCTGGCCGGCAGCAAAATGACCTTGGATCTCGAACGACGAAATGAATGGCGAGATATTCTCGGGAAGCTCAGGTGCAACTGCACCGATTGGGGTCCAATTATCTGTCAGCCTCTCGGAGATACCTGTTGCGCGTGTCTGGTTGACAATGCCGAAAAGCAATGCCATACTATTTGCGTCCTGGGGATGAAGACTCGTGGCCGTGGCATTGTCCTTGAACGCCCCATATGTATCGTCCCAGCAGTACTGATTGATAGCCTTCTTGAGATTCTCTGCTCTGGTGTTCCACGTGTCTGCGAGAGAACTCGTGCTATCTGCCCAAGCAGCCAGCTGTGCTCCCGTCTTCAGAGTATGGTATAATCTTGTGTTGTTAGAGAGTAGCAACAGAGACGTATTGAGTCACTGACATCATTTGCGCTTCTGAGTTGTTATATCCCTGTTGCATCGAACCCAATCGCGGGTGCCAGTGACAATCAGTAATCCCGACTTTCCATCCACCTTTCCATAGATGAAGTCCATAGCGGCTTGATATTTCTGCCAGTTGGTTGAAAGGAAGTCGGTATCATTGGAGAATAGCACGTAATTGTAGGTCCCGATCATCGTCCACATATGGTAGGTATCCGAGTTCTTCTGACTGAGCGGTGGCCCTGATTCGTCAAAAGCACCTGTCGCTGTATTCTGTTTCGACTCGGCTCGGCTCTTACTGCTCAGAATTCAGCGGTAGAGCTTACTTGCGTGTTGTACATCACCTGGAGAGCATTCTTGACACTCTCCAGGTCGCCTGTACTGAGAAAAGCAGACGGAACAGCAATTCCCATGTCACCAGGCCAAACTGCACGGTCCCTTTTAGCCCCGTCGACAATGATAGTATCGCCAGGGCCTAGAGTTGCATTATTGGCCCATCCATTATGCAACATTGGGACTTGACGACCGGTGTTGGCTGGGACCGAGTTGGTTTGCAGTGTATAGGCACCGCTGTACCAGATTCGATTGAGCAGTTCGTCGTTTGAGTGGAAGTAGCCCTGGTAGGCCCGCAAATTCGACCACGTCGGCTGGAAGCCAATTTCCAAGCTCACATCCTGGATCTGAACCTTGATAGACTCATTCGTGACCGGGAACACTGTCATGTATCGGAAACCCCCACGCAAGGCTTCATCTGGCATTGTATACGAGCCCTTTCCAGCCTGCGTGAAGTTTGCGTACAGTGCCCCATCAGGACCCTTGAATGCGCCGTTGGACGAATCTGACCACTCGCCTATCCAGTTCTTGGCTTCTGTAAACGCCATACCTAATGCTCCACTGCCTGAGGAAGTATAATTCAGAGTGACGATGCCGCCGACTTCGATGCCAAAGTCGAATATGACCAGAGACCCATTGCCATGGAGAGTGGCCGGCATTGCTTGTGCATAAGCTGAGTTCAGGCTCAAGTCGGTGATGGACAAAATCTTCTTAGGACGAACAGTCCTTGAAGAAGGTGCGTAGATGCCCTGTTCCCATGGCCCTGCGAATGCACTGCCTTCTGGCCCTGAACATGTTGTGTTCCTCCAGCACGTTTGTGCTAGAACAACGGGAAGGAGAGCCAGAAGGCTTAGAAAGACATTCAAAAAGTGAAGTCTTGTCATCTCAAGGAATAGGGACTTTATACCAGTTAATTGAACATAGAACTAGGCATAGATAAAACAAATGTAGTATCATATAGTGTTCATGGCTACATATAGCCTACTGCTTGAGACCAGGTCCACTCGGGTTGTATTCTCCCAAGAAGCCAAAGAGGGGTTGTTCGTCAGTCCTGCCTGGATGATCTGCTTCTAAGGAGTTGTGCCGAATATACTAGGTCGTTCGATGCCTGTTTGTCAGCCCGAAGGAGCCTCCCACAGTCTCCGCACCTGACAGGGCAGACTGGCCGTCCACTGGAAGAATTGGCCACTAGCAAGTAGCATGCTGTTATGGCTCACACGAAGCTTTAAGTGAATGGATACAGTAGCCAAATATGCTACCGCCGGATGCCAAGTATGCTTGCTGATTCAGGGAACCCAGCAACGTCAGATGAGAACCCGTTACCCGACCTTTCTTATGATGCAAGAACAACAAATTGAGGAGCAAGAATGCAGGTGTTGATATCTATTGCCTATTGGCGGGAAATATTAAGCAAGACTACTTGCATCGCGATATGGACATGAGTAGTGATTGACACACAGAGGACAGGAACAGTCTTCTTCCCAGGTCATGGAATCTTAATTCCTGTTTCCTTTGAATCTCCCCGCAGTTACATATGCGCATGGTGTCCTTAGCTTCGGTATATGAGATTCCTAGCGTAAGTATTGGGAGATTTGGTGGAATAATGACCGAAACCCTCATTCAGCAATGTTGATCACATTGAACATTGAAATGATGAAGCCAATGAGACAAATATAAAGGGGAGATGCCAAGATGGGGATGTGCTGGTGCATACATGAGCAGGGACATTCATGCGGGCGATAAGATCTCATATAATGCGTTGTTCGATCCTCTCCCTCGTCTCTCTCCCACTTTTCTTCGGGCTGACTTACGCTGGCGGTGTTGGAAAGGACAAACAAAACAATGTCTGTACCGTCAAAGCCAATGGAAAACAGAAGGATGATGTGCCAAATCTTCTGAAGGCTTTCAAAGAATGCGGAAATGGAGGGACAATAATCTTCCTGGTGATCAGTCCTATTGGATTGGGACGAGACTTAATCCTGTTCTGAATGATGTCACAGTACAATGGAGAGGGAAGTAGATAGTAAGTCCTCCTAATATCTGCCTCTCATCAACCAACTGATATAACTCTCGTGTAATAGTTCTCTGATGATCTTGACTACTGGCGCAACAACTCCTATCCTGTTACCTTCCAAAACCATCGTGCGGGCTGCATTATCAGCGGACACAACATCACCATCGACGGATACGGTACCGGAGGCATCGATGGCAACGGCAATACATGGTATACAGCAGAAAAGGGCGTCACACAACCTGGGAGGCCGATACGCTTCGTCTTCTGGAACGTCTCTGAGGTCAATGTCGAGAACTTCTATGTCAAAGATCCGCCTCTATGGAGTGTCAATATCATAAACGGCACGAACATGCGATTCAACAACATCCACTGCAATGCGACGTCGGTAGATGCGCCGTACGGCTACAATTGGGTGCAGAATACGGATGGATTTGGTTCGTTTACTGCAGTCAATTGGATGGCCTCAGCTGACTTGAGTTCGCAGATACCATGGATGCTGTGAACATCCAACTCACCAATTTTGTGTACCAAGGTGGAGATGACTGCATCGCCATCAAGCCTCGATCGTACAATATTGACATCCAGAATGTGACATGCGTTGGCGGAAATGGCATTGCCATTGGTAGTCTTGGTCAATATCTCGAGGACTCCAGCGTGGAGAATGTCCGTGTGGATAAGGTGAAGGTATCGCCGCTGCAGACGGATTCCTGCCTCTAAAACAGTACTGATGATATGGTATTGGCAGATCATACGGTACAACGAAGACATGCACAACGCCGCGTATATCAAAACCTGGGTCGGCGCTCTGGTCCCCCAAAGCTCATACGAAAGCGCTGGTCTCCCTCGCGGTGGAGGCTGGGGCACTGTGCGAAATATCCTCTTCTCGAACTTTGAGGTGCAAGGAGCGAACGCCGGACCAGCGATAAATCAGGACAGCGGTAACAACGGTTCATACTCTGGATCGAGTCTCATGACCGTCTCCAATATTGTCTTCGCCAACTTTACAGGCTACACAAACGGTGGTTCCAGTGTCACATCGAAGGTCTCTTGCTCCGAGGTTCATCCTTGCTACAACATCGAATTTGACAACGTGGTCCTCTATCCTGGCAAGAATGCATCAACTCCTGGAAGAGGATCCTGCCAATATGCCGAAAACGGAGGTGTTCATGGACTCGAGGGATGTTAGCTAACTTGGCAAGAAATAGTCGAAATCGTGATTAGTTCATTGAGGAGGATTTGACAACATGCCATCTTTGGAGTGTTACCAACGTGGCGGGGAGTCATCCCGTGTACAGAATCGATTCAATCGAATGGCAGAATAGTATCTGTAGTTGAATAGGATATGGGCTCGCCGAGGAGATTTGTTGTTGGTTATTGTCAACCAGATATGCCTATCATTCCTACTATGCTAGAAATGGTCGTCTAGACACTTTTGGCGCAGTGGTTTGAAGGCTGACTGCTGACAGGTGTCATCCGAAGGGCGCACGGTGCGGTGTGGACCGAAAGATATAGCCGGAAAATTGCAGGTATAAGAACGACTCAACCTCTCTGATTCACAATAAAGACCAACAGCAATAGATTTACTCGAACTTAACCTTTCTTCCCTCTTGCCGTACTTTATCGTGTCATTTCAACTCGACAATCTGTCTCATTACAATGCGGAAGCCGTGGATAGAAACGCCTCTGATCGAGTCGGCAGCACTATCTAAGGTAGCTGGATGGTAAGAACATCTACCGTTCCTATCTATCCAAACACTAATTGCATGTAGCAGAATCTTTTTAAAACTCGAGCTCCTCCAGCCATCTGGATCCTTCAAATCAAGGTACAACATAACTCGAAGAGAATTCAGAATTCTCTAGATACTCCCGACAACTGACAGAGACCAGGGGCATCGGCAACCTAATCCGCTCTGCATTTCTCGACCCAGCGAACAAGGACAAGCAACTCCATTTCTACAGCTCCTCAGGAGGAAATGCAGGCCTGGCCGCCGTGGTCGCAGCCAGGGACCTAGGCTATCCCTGCACAGTTGTCGTACCACTCAGCACGAAGCCGTTGATGATCAGCAAATTGCGGGCGGCGGGTGCTGCTGACGTGATTCAACATGGCGCAAGCTGGTTCGACGCGGACACCTACCTACGGAAGAACTTCATCGATAATCAGGATTCCCAGCACTCGTCGCGGAGAAACATCTATCTGTGTCCGTACGATCATCCCGAGATCTGGAAGGGCGCTGCGACAATGGTATCTGAGATGGTCGACCAGTTACCTCCGCGAGATCCCTCGTCGACATGCAACTTTCCAGCTGATGCGATTGTATGCAGCGTTGGCGGTGGGGGTCTGTTCAATGGAATTGTCCAAGGAGTCGACAATTACCTGCAATCACAAGCGGTAAATGGAAAGGGAAACGCTCGGAGAAACGTCAAGATTCTGGCCGCAGAGACACACGGTGCGGGTTCGCTGGCGCTTTCGCTACGAAACGGGAGTCTTCAATCGCTTCCCGGTATCACCTCGCTCGCGACCTCCCTGGGGGCTGTTTGTGTCGCTGAAAAGACCTTCCAATACGCAAGCTCACCTCCAGCCGGCATTGACGTAGCAAGTGTCGTGGGCTCGGATGCTGAGGCTGCTCAGGGTGTTCTTCGATTGGCTGATGATCTCCGGCTACAGGTTGAACTGGCATGTGGAATATCCGTAGAGGTTGCTGTGGGAAGACGTTTGAGAGATGTCATCCCGGACCTTACTCCGAACAGCAGGGTGGTCATTGTGGTTTGCGGAGGAAGCAACATCACGGCTGAGATGATAGCAGAGTATCGTCTCAAACTTGAGAGTGGTTGGAATTAGACTGGTCTCCTCTCCAGTGGAGGAGTGCTAACTGTCTGCTGAAACTGCTAAGCTTGAGAAATGCTGACCCGCAGGCCGCAGCCGTTGTTATCTATGATACCTTCGAGTGGGGGACCTCAGACGACTGCGGTATGACCCGACAGCTACAGAGTACTCCATACGCTGTACATGATTTATTATCAGAAGTATGGAGACACCTCCTTTACGACGTGTATTGATTGGGCGCTACGGGTCGAGAACTAGAACTACCTGGGGTATCCACTGGGAGTATTGAACCTTTGGAGTTTGTGATATGGAGTTTTCCTTTGGCAGACTGTTCAAAATGTAGAATTTGATTGTAGCTATTTGTTGAGGTCTTGGTGCCGACTGAAGTTGATTCTAGTGGAGGGGATACTCGTGTGGGATTGTTGACTGATTCTCCCAACGTATTGTCCTCTCACTATGTACCTGCTACTACCAATGATCGACATTTTGTGTTGGATGTCTGCGCTATACTTGACTTTGAACACATGCTTAAGAAGCCTAAGTATGGTAAGGATAGACTTGAGTAACACAGACTTGCAGGTTTCATTGTACGAAGATTTTGACTTGACGAGCCTAACTGTGCATCCAGCTATATGGTTACTTTCGTGGAAGCAGGTGTGCAGGATCTTGTCATTATGGAAGAAACATAATAGTAGCGGCATACGAGCTGCTCACCATAACTCTCGTTAGTCTCTACGACAAAGGCCACGCACCCGGTGCTGTCAAAGATCTCGTCCTGTATGGGCGGCAGACCGGCAACCTAGTAAGATATACAGCTGCTCAAAGCAGACGGCAAGTAATCCTTGAGCTAAGGGATCAAATAGAAATTGTCCTACTCAAGCCGGATGCACTCGCAAAGTTGGAGTACGTGTTAGGAAGCTGTAATTCACCGCCTCCCGGAGCCGCTCTGCGAGTGTTGGTAGTATGTTGACCATATGGTTTACTTGCAGCGTGCTCCTCCAGTTTGCGGGAATAAAAGGTTTAAAATCTGCTCCTTTGTGAGCCGTATATCGACTTTACACTTGCAGAGCGGTTTGAGGAAGCAATGCATGACTATCTAATGATCCTGGCATGTGTTCTTTGCATTGGTATTATTATTGTCGCCGTCTCCTTCCTCTGTCGAGTCTCCCTCCCCTTTGGTCCCATTATTGACGCAAGAAGGAAATAACGAGTTTATTCTTGCTCTTTTTATATCTAGCAGTCATCGCCATGCAGCCGTGCTTACTATATTGGCCAGCCCAGTTTTACATTTGCTAACGGTGTTCATGGCTAGCCCCATGGATTCCATTTTCGGGTGTTCAGGAAGAAAAAGACAGAGACAGCTAGGTGGTCATTCTTTTGCTCCTTCGTCATGTATAATGAGAATAAAACCAAACCTTCTCCGGTAATCATTTTTAATTGAAAACTGATGCTGTACGTTACTCTGAAGGAATCTTCGATATGAGCAATGGGATCTCTGGTTTATCAACTATGAGCTCCAGTAAGAATAGGCTATTTCAGCCACAATATCGAGCTCATCCTGGAATAGCCGAGCCAAGCGCATTATAAGATCGATCTGTCTCCGTTTGCAAATTGGACTTCACTACTGTTGACTTGACACGTTAATCCCGGACGGTGCAGTATGTGGATAGTGCGTCCCGATGGTAATACGCTACAATTGTGGGTTCAGACACTGGCAAAGGCATTTGACCGCTTTGGTGAAAGAGCAACGTTACCTGGTTACTAGTATCTTGTGGCCCCAGTCTACACTGGAGATTTCTCGTTGTCCAGCGGACTCAATTCAGTCTCGAGGGAGTGCATCTATCAAAATGTGATGAGAAGCCGGGGTTCTCAACTTCTCTCTTACCATTTTAGGCTTCCCCCCGAAGTGTTCGGAAAAAATGAAACAGTTGCCAAGCTCTATGGCAATCGTATTTTTGTCTCGAGTTGATGTTGATATATTAAGAACGCATATAATAATAATAATAATAATAATAATAATGTCGATATTACTTCTCACCAGACACAGAAACGGCAGACCTTAAGTTATAGAGAAGTTCACAGAGGGTATGCAACAGCTTTAGGATCACGGTTTACCTTGACAGCACTTCTTGATGAAGATGGGTCTGGATTGACCAGGGATCCATGGCTGCAATTGACGAGTTCTTTGAATGCGTCGAGAAAAATAACTATCTAGATGTCATTTGAGTATTTCGGGACGTGGAGACTCTAGGATCAGGAGCAGGTTCTAGACACGAAGACTTGGTAAAAGATAGGGGCTATGTAAATAAGATACAGCCCCGGTTGAAGAAGCTAACGAACTGAGTTTTTGCCTGATTAGGCTTAGTGCTGTATTCCTGCCGCGAACCATAACTGCCATCCTCTACTAACCAGACTGAGTCTAGCGTGAATTCCCATTTCCGTGGGTGTTAAGGCATCCATCCAGTAAGGTATCCATGGATTATCTACCGCTAGTACCTAGTGTTTTCTACCCCTTTTTGTTGGTGTCGCGGGTGAGCGTCGAATACTATCCACACTCCACCATCGTCGTCAGCCCCCCTCTTGCCTCCATGTCAAATGTTATGCATAATGGACATTGGAATGTCTCCGGTTCTCAGGCCGTCTGCAGCTGTGGGAAGTACACCAAGACCAATAATAATGGTATCGACTGTTCATCAGAGAGGTCAAAGTACTCCGTACTCCGTACCGTCTCCGTAATACCAACCCATCATCCTGAACGCCGCGGGCTTGTGTTTAGGTGTGTTCTCATCATTACTGGATCAGGCAGTGCCACAACCAACTCTTAGTTCTGGGCTCGAGTTTTTCTTTTGTCCTTTTTCCGTTACTTGCAGCGTGCACCTGCAGCCAACTGGACGACTGCGGCCCCTTTTTCTCCTCTGTGGTAGACCGCCTCAACTGCTTGTCATGCACGTTTGGCACGAGTTCTCCACAGTTCCTGAACATGAGTTGCTGCAGCTCGCTCCATTATTTGCATGGGTTGCTACTTGCATGAATGATGCCAACAACCCAAGGATCAAAATACCTACGAGGCTGCGACTTACATATATGAAACCCGACTAAGAGTCTCATTCCTCTTGTGGGGATGATCAGCCTTGGAGTGCCGTCCCGTTCTTCGTCTTGACTGGTCGACCCTTCCTGCTCGTGGTATGTGGAAACAAAGAACACAATTCTATTTGGTGCTTGCAAAGTCAACTTCGCGAACCGCAAGACTTGAAAGGGGAGGGAGAAATAATTGGGAAACCGAAAATCACAAAGTACAGAGTCGATGACCCTGAGTTAGTACTCCTTTACTACTTCTGCTAATTCAGCCATAATTTCCTGAA